TTACCTGGCGAGCAGCTCCTTGCTGGATATTTCTCTGGGCCATATTGGTCATGTTGGGTTGACGAGAAGACATTGTAAAAAACACGACTTCAAGACGGAGAAGTATATCTCGAGAATGCTGCTGGTTGTAAAGATGCCTTGAGCGATCTTGGAGCAGAGTCGAGAATTGCGAAGTAGCTGAGAGCTGAAGCTTAGATAAAAGAATCAAGACTGCTAAGCAGAAAAGACTTGAGAATTGTGTATGACGAGGAGGATATCTCGAAGAATCAAGTGGTATGGAAGAAGTAGAGAAGATGGAGTTGCCGCAAAGAGAGCTGGTTGAATCTCCACGACGCTCAAAGTCTGTCAAGTCTGTGTGTTCTCACGAGAAGAAGCAAGATTCGATAGACGAAAGCGAAGAGCGTAGAAATGAAGCTGATATCAGATTGTTGGAAGATGCTGCGAAGCTGAGGCTGTGTGCACGAAATCTGATGATGGTGAGGAGAGGAAGAAGAAGAGGAGAGCAAGTTGGAGGTGAAAACTCTTCTATATATTCGATTCCGAGCCTCGGCGCTACTAAAGTGCTTGCATGTTTGAATAGGAGTGTTGGAGTTGGCAGTGCAAACGGCCGTCAAGGGCTGCCAAGGGCTGTCAAGGACCAATATAATGGCGTTTGGCCAGCCCGGCAACTGTCAACACTCGTAGACAATTCCTGGCTCTCTCTAAGCCTCTGAGTTAGTAACTCGTTGGGGGCCGTACTCATCTTGATATTGAGACATCGGGCTGCTGCTGTTGACTGAGTATCGTGAGGTTGACGGTCTTGATGTTGCTGAATTTTGGGCCTATGAGGTTCTATACTACGAGGTGTCACTCCATGCCAAAACACAACGACCAAATCTACCCCTTTCACCTCATAATCAGAGATCATTCATCTTGGTCTTGTCAATAGATAAAATACTTTGCAGGTATCTCGGCTCAATGGTGTTGAGTTGCTCCTCATTGTGCCGGCACTTACACTGCCCTCAGCTATCGGCCCGCCTTTGATATTGTCGGCTAACGGCAACGCTTTGAGTTATTGTACTTGTGCTGAATAGAGCTGTCGAGATGGTCTTAGCTTCTGGGAAGCGGGCCCGAGTTGCTGAGGGCTTCATGTGCCAAATCGTAGCTACCTGTAGTCTTGTCTACATATCATTGTATCGAACGGCGATACTGTAAACGCCGCAAAAGCATTACAAGTCTCCGTATAATGAGCCTCTAAGCTCAGGATATCTTCTATAACCGACCAAACAACTTCAGTTAATCATTGACTAGAATCTTCACAAATTTGCGGGACTCTGCGTTACGGTTTTGCGGTACAGTGTCAGCGGCTGGCAGACTTGAGAGATGGCATTCACTACCACTACCACTCTACAGGTCAGCCCCCCTGCCTGCCCACGGCCGTCGTCGGCCGTCATCGATGCACATCTAGAAGAGCTTGCATATCCATTGCGTGTTGATCAATTTATATAGAGTGGTTGCAGGAATGTTAGTGGGGTTGCATGAACGGCCTAAAGCCAAGTAATATTATCGATGTGTATCCGTTCAGCCAAGACAAATGAAAAACCAGGAAACGATTCCCTTTGAATTCTTCTTGGAATTCACGTTTCAATATTTCAGATAAACCAACTGAATTATGACTTGTGTAGGTGCTCGAAAGGCATCGAACTACCAGGAGTTGGTTTTCAATAAGCACACGATGACGCCTCCTCAAGCAACTTCCTGGACCATCTTACCCGGTGCCAATTTAGATGCAGGCTTGAAAACCTGACCGGCCGGGCTGTCAAGCATCTCTTCTGTCACTGCCACTCGAACTCCAGTTTTGTTGCTGACCCACCGAACAAAGACAGGATCAGGCTTGTTCGAGTCTTCTAAACCGCCTGCGCCAGCAGCTGCAGCCTTGCGGTTGATCTTGGGAGCTTGCTTTTTAAGGAGTTTGTTGATTGTTTCCATCTATAATCTGGGGTCAGCACACAGTCCGCATTTCTGCTTAATTCAATTTTGAGGTTACCTTTACTTCCTCATTTCGCTTTTCACTCAAGTTACGGCGTCGCCGGGCCATCTCCTGTCGACGCATGGACAATTCCTCAGCTGTAAAAACCTTCTTCGCTTGTACCTCTGCCAACATGGATTAGTGTTGCAAGTGTAAGTACAGGCACTAGACTCACCGTCTGACAACTTCATGTACTGGTGCGCATTGTCATCTTCAAATCGAGCTCGTTGCCTCTTTGTCATTTTGGTGAGATCGATAGACTCGTCTGGGTTACCATCTTCGTCATCATCTTCGTCGTCATCGTCGCCTCTGTCGCCTTCATCATCTTCCTCCTCCTCATCTTCTTCGTCTTCGTCATCCTCATCTCCTTCTTGGCCTGCGACCTCGATCTCCTCACCTTCAGCATCCTCGTCACCATCGCCGGCCATGGTCTCATCACCAAAACCCATAGTCTCGTCTCCAGCATCGCTATCAGCGGGGTCACTAAGCTCGTCGTCGTCGTCGTCATCATCCTGGATGACCTTGGCAGCCGATGCTCGAGGTGCTGGCTTAGACCGGGCTGGTTTGGAAACGGTGATGGTTGGGGGGGCTAGATCCATATCGATGTCTCCCTCAGCATCCTCCTCTCCCTCAGCATCAACATCCATCTCATCGTCATCGTCTTCCTCCACCTCAATCTCTGCCTCCTCTTCCTCTTCCTCATCTTCGTCGGGGCTTGAGTCAACCACATAACTTTTCTTAGCTCCTCGATTCCGCTTTCCGGATACGATTTCTCCGCCTTCAAAGCCACGCTCCCCGCGTGTAGCCTGTCGTAGTTTGTTGGAAGGAAGTTTGACAGTCAAACTCAAATGACGATCGCCACCTGGTGATGAGGCATCATCTCGGGAGACGGACACGCCTGAGGCGCGACCAGATCGTCGTGACGACATGCTTCTTTCGCTTCTTTCGCTTCTTTCTGGAGAGTCAGCCCATCTGGCATGAACAGAAATGACTTCATTGGCCTTAGTGGCTGCTGAGCGACGTGGACGCGAACTCATGATGATAGATGCCCGCACTGGCGGGGCCTGGGGCGAATGGTAGAAAATGAGGAAAGTGGGAAATAATTAGTGGTATGCGAAGTGAAGGGTGGGTTGTATTTGTATCAGGATAGAGTTCAAGGAGTCCTGGGGTCCCAGGAAAGATCGCGAAAACTTAGATATGTGAAGTTAAATGAGTTGGATGACAGAAAAGGAAAGTGATTGGAAGACAAGTTTGCAGGTTTTGGTGTTGACAAGGCTGAAATAAGCTCAATTTGTTGGGGCGGGAGTGAGACAGCAGGAGCAGGAGTAGGAGCCACGAGCCACCGAATAAGGGATTGGCTGGAAGGAACAGGCAGGGCCAAGGCAGGGCAGGGCAAGTGCAGTTCGGATGTTGGTGGCGATTGCCGTTGGCGAGATAGGATAGGATAGGACAGGATAGGCTGGAGTCTGGACTTTTGTAGTGTTGGTGACGCTTCATTGGTGTAAAGACGACTTGAGCTTGAAGCTTGAAGCTTGCGAGGCTGAAGATAAACAGCCAAGTAATGCAATTTATCCTGCAACCAGTCAAGCCGATCAATCGACCAACCAAGGGCTGACTACCTAGGTAACTACGTGAGACCTCTATCTGTGAATACCGCTGAATCAGGGATTCCTATAAGCGGGATCCTGCACGTGGCTGAGGATCATCGGCCAGGCCAGTCCAGGAATATCCTAATCCTATGGTAGCTCAGACAAACTGCCGATATCAAAGGCCAATACAGAATAGCTTAGGGAGAAGCTTATCCTCGTCGGTTGCATTGAGAGAATTGGGGGACAGACACGAAAAGGATTACAGAGACGGACGGAATTGGTGGGTGTTGTTTTGCTGCGACCAAACAAAGGGAGGGACAACCAAGAGGAAAGGAAAATTCACAACTCACCTGTTACAGCTTTTGAACGCCTTGGTCTTGCAAGGTCACACCACGGCAGCTTATCGCCTATTCACTTTCACTTGCCTACTCTTGAGACGGCCAGCAGTTGCTAATTGGGTTTTAACCGCTCCCAATCGCTTCACCCCGAATAAGGTCTGACTGAGCCAAGAGCTGGAGACTCAAGCGCAATCGCTATTCCCAGGGCACAAGCACGCAAGTTGCTTAACCCGTTGAGACCGGCAGGTGACGCGGTACGAGGCTTGTGAGACGAGCGTGGTTACACGTTGTCACTGTGTCCTGCTTCTGGCGGTAGAATTGCCTGCCACGATGAGATTGGCTGATGGGAGATGATGGCGCTGAATCTTTTTGGCGCAAGAACTTTGGCGCGATTCCGGTGTCTTGAGCAGAACGTGAAAGGGTAGTGCGAATGGGATTTGTTATTACTGAGAAGCCTGGGCGTTCACCGAGGTCCTTGATGGTACAGGCGACCTTTCACTCTGAGATATTGTCTGGAATTGATGCTCTCAGGTGAATGCGCGTTCTGGTCGTGCTACCGTTTAGCACAATCCCGTTTTATTTCCAGCAACGGCCAAGGTACTAAACGGAGTGGCTACCGTTACGTACACTACTATCCGGCTTACTCAACGGCATCAGTGCGTATTAACATACCTAGGTAGGTATGTTCTCTCAGGCTCTTTATTATAAGGAAGGCTTTGAGGGTGAAATCTTCAAGCAAATGTATATTTTCTTACTGATTAACATGGCTTGATGGCGAGACTCCAACATCATACAGGGACTTACCTACTAACCTGGTAAGTACCTAAGGTACGTGCCAACACAAGCAGGTGAGGTAGGTTAGTAGGTACCAAATAAGGTACCTAAGTACTGCCTTAAGGTAGACTCCACCGTTATCGGTAGGAGGACCGAGGCATGTGCCTACCTCGCCGAACCTTGCCTACACCTCGGAAACCACAAACATTCCCCTTCCATCATCTACCTTATTTCAACGTTTCCGTTAACTAATGTTCCAGTCTTACAACTAGTCGCGTGACACTATCAAACATGAGCGACTCAGATTCCGACCTCGCCATCCCAGCCTGGCAGAAGGCGCAATCCGATGAGATCGATAGCCAAAACACCGAATCGGCCCCGACGCCATCCATGAGCAGCTCAACATCAGAAGTCGATGCGCCAGCGGCAGAAGTAACAGCAGAAGAGACTCCCCAGCCGGAAATTGACACAGACGGTCAAGAAAGACTCGAGGTTGCAAGACGCTTTCTCGAGAATGACGATGTGCGACACGCGCCTCATGAGAAGAAGATCGAGTTCTTGAAGTCCAAAGGCATTGACGAAGCCGAGATACACGCGCTTCTTGGTCAAGACGAATCCACAACAGAGACAGAGGTTTCTATTACTTCTTATCTTGCTCCCATATACTATGCTGACAATTTCAAGGCGCCAATCCCAGAAACACCTAATTCTTATGCTCCAACACCAACCGAAACTCTGCCTCCAACACCAGCTTCCCATCCGCCCGTCGACCGACCCCCAGTCGTCATATACCCTGAATTCCTTGCGAAGGCACCCCGCCCTCCTCCTCTAGTTACAAAGGAGCGTCTCTTCAACGCCCTTTACGCAGTCACTGGCCTTTCCACCCTCATCTATGGGACAAGTCGCTACGTTATTCGGCCTATGGTTGACAGTCAGGCCGAAGCCCGTACAGATTTCCACGATCTGACCTCGCGAAAACTCGATACCCTCGTCGCAAAGCTTGAAAAGACCGTCTCCGAGGTTCCCCCCAAGAAACCCATCGCCGCAGTTGAGGAGGAGAGCGATGCTGAAGACCCTACAGAGATGTTCCACAGGGACATGGGCACTCAAACCACATTCCCCATAAGTTCTGTGACAGCTATGACAGACTCTAAGAATAACGAGTCGGCTGCCAAACATAACACCAATCAACTCGGTAGCTTAAACAAGACTCTTTCTGGCCTGAAGGATGAATACCGTTCCCAGAGCGAAGGCATGGATAAGATCAAAACTGCTGTGGATATGCTACGAGATGACCTTGACACAATGACATACACTGCGTACCCCGATCACAGTACTGGCTATGACCTGTACGGCCGCTCACGCAAACCTGAACCAGATGACGAAATCCGCAAGGTGCGGGATAACATCCGGCGTGTGAAGGGAGTCTTGCTGAGCACGAGAAACTTCCCTGCCTCGGCAAGATGATTTATATCTGAAACCAAGCTATAAAAACGGCAATCCGTATCATCTGTGTCACTCTCAGAAAAGCTTTCATAATGTACATTTAGTCTTTACAGTACGCCATCGTCATACTTAATCATACCAATATACCCTCTACACATCCAGCCGTCATGGTATCACGTAGAAGTGAACTCCTCCATGTGGTATCCCCTATGTTCTTGCCTCCTTACCTCTTTTCTTTGAACCCACATCGGGTCGCTCAGGGACTTCGATGAGGTGTTTCGAGAAAAAGGCTGGCCACTGCATAACCCTAATATGCTCGAAACCACGGCCTTCTTGTACCTGCTCATCGTACCACTCCAGGGTTGGTCTGAAGACAAAATTCATCGTTCTTCCACGGTATCCCTCACTCCTTTTATTTGCGCAATGCATAAAGAGGCGGTTTTTGCATCTGGTCGGCTGATCCATATTCTTCCCACGAGGAGCATGGAAGACAATCTTCAGGTCCTCATCTGCGGCATCAACTGTCCCCGTAGGTTCATCAACGTCCATTGCCTCTGGAGAGGGTGGCCGTGATCTGATGGGCGCATTTCCTGACTTGACTTCCCTCCATCCCTGAGTCATCATTGCTGGCAGTACGGCTGGAATAGATTCCCTCAGATTCTTCATAAGATGCTGAAGCTGGTGGATAGTAATATCGACAGGGTCTGTCAACCCCTGTGGAATCACATCTGGCCCCCTAATCCATACTTTCCTCAGTGGTAGTTTGTTGTGAGGCCCTTCAGCAAGCCGTATCATTTCGCGTTGTGCTTCAATAAGTTGCCCATCGTAAACGTATGGATCATTGTCCGGCATTTTCATGACAGGATCCCATATTATTAACTCCATTGCACGCCAGGGCTTCTTGGCTACATCAACAGGTCTGTATACAGCAATCCACGGCCGTCGATTCTTGTTAGTGGTTTCTCGATTGTCGCCGTACTTCCAGGATCCCTCAATCGTGTAGCAGAAGGCCACGCCAGTATTGATAAAGGGGTGGCCATGAATTCTTCCGTTGAAATAGCGAAGACATCTATCGTATGTATCGAACTCGGAAAAACCACGTGCCATATCGATATTCCAGTAAGAGACGGGGCGATTAAAGACTGTCTGCGGGCCCCAGTCCCTGTCCCGAATATCGCTTTCCAGTTGTCCTAGGAAGCGCTTGAAGGATACCCCGTCATCGCGGGGGACTAAGTGTAGTATTCTCTGAGGTGCTCTCTCCACAGCTGACTGATTCTGCGGGACAAGGGAGGAGGCGGCAGGGTTAATTTTTCCCCAAACATCGTCTGGATTACCCAACGTTGAGGGAGTATATTCGGGGATCCGGATTTGGTGAGTGAGCCTCTGGATGCCAGCATCAGGGCTTGATCCAAGCACGGTGAAATGCCGATACTGGTCTAAATTCAGAATAGACCACCACCCAAACCAGTTGACAAGACTCTGCTCATCGTTGCCATCAATCGAATCAGGGGCGAACACCACAATCGATTGATCATCATCTAAACGTCCTACTAGCCCTCTGACATGTTGCAAGCACTTAAAAAGAGCATCGATTTCTTTCTCGGCTGTCCCCTTGTCCTCTTCGCGTACTCGGGTACTTTCTAGACGCGTCTCCCAGTCTTCCTTGACCACGACAGTTACCTCGTGAATCCAGTTCTCAAAGTCGGCACATACGATGAGCGTAAAAGCACCGCGATGTTGCTGCCAATATTTGTAAGCCCACTTGAAGAAAGCCCAGGCCTGCTGAGGCTGTGAGATAACAAAACTGGGAGTAACTAATACAGCTTTCTTCTGTCCGCAGATAGTTTGCAGAGTGACATCCCCGATCCGGGATGGTTGACCAAGAGAGGGATAAAAGGGCGCAGGTTGCAGAGATATGGAAAAGAGGCGGAAATTGAAGTTTGGCACGCTGTGAAGGACAGTCCAGACTGAAGGAAACAGCCGCGTAGCCCATATTGCCTCTTCATGCACGATGACGACGCCTTGGTCCAGCTTCCTGAAGCTAGCCCAGTGTCCAGCGGTGAGGCTAGAAAGCAACCTACACTGAGGGTTGCAGCTTCGCAGCCATCCGCTCAGAAAGTGAGCTTCTTCCACGGCGTTCGTTGGAAATACCAGGAAGAAGTTGTGGTTGCTATAATCCATGAGGGCCTTTTCTGGTAGTAATTGCTCGTACTGGAATCCCAAAAGCCGGTTGAAAACTGTCGGTATCATTTGTGGTAGGACGTCGCCACCGCCAACGCCCTCTGGAAGAACAATCGGCGCAAGCGAGCGCGTTGTCAGGTGAGGAGAAGACCGAAACAAGTAATAACGTAGCAGCACAGACTCTTTGAACGATGCATAAATGAAGATGCACAGTTCTTGGTGATATAGGAGGACCCCAACAGACCTTACACAGAGCCAATTCGCAACTGTAGCCAAGCTATCTGGGTCGCCAATGCTTGTCACTGAGCCGGTGCCCAGCTTAGCAGCAGCCAGAGCAGTCTCTTGAGACCAGAAGTCCCGCGTCGTACAAGAGTGTGTGAAGATTAGGATGGGGTGCTGTTCAAAGATACCCGACCAAGGCTGCCCATTCTGATCCTCGTCTCTTTCAAAAATAACCGAGAATGTTTCCCGACTTCCTGGGCCAAACTGCACCTCCGTGGTGATGGACTTGTTAGAAGAGCTCGATTCATCGTTCATAACAGGGGCTCTCCCAGCCCAACATTCTTGGTTGTCTGAAGCCTTTGTCTGGAAGGTCGACTCGGATTGTGGCCCAGTGTTTTTCTCGGCTTCACGACAGTCATCTTCTATTTTAATTGGGGTCGTCGCTCGAATAAGAGAATCCTCGCGTAAGAATAGGCTCTCCTCTCTCTCTCCACGGGCGGGTATCGTTGCCTCTTCGACGGTGCCCCAACTAATTGACTTCTTGGGCCTTGACTTTTGGGCCTCGGGGATGGTTTCAGTAGAGTTCTTGTTTTGTCCGAGGGGTTTAACTGTTTCATTCGGGATTTCGGGACGCAGCGGTAAGGCATTCAGGCCGCTGATAGATCGCTCCGCTGGGTTCAGAGAGATGAGATCTGTCGGTAGTCTTGCAGGTGCAGCGCTTTCTCTGTCGCGGCCTGCTTTTTGTATGAGATTCACATACCTTGGCTTCAAGAGTTTCGACTGTTTGGTGGAATCTTTAGCAGCTTCGGCGAGAGTCGTGCGCTGCTTTCTCACTATACCCCCTGAAAATACATTTCCTGTGAAGGCTTGCGCAGGCCGGGTCTTGCGAGCCTTTGTCGGTTGCCCCTTGCGTAGGTGACTATCGGTCCGCTTTATCGGTCCACGAACGCCGAACTTTGATGACAAGAGGTTACTTGAAGCTACCGGCTTTTGTGGTGGTCTCTTATTATCAACAAGGACTTTGCTTGGTTGCCGTCGCAGTGATGGCTTCTGACTGGTTGAGGATGTGAATGAGGCTGTAGTTGTAGTCGCAGCTGAGTTCATTGGCGGTCGTGAAGGATGATGGACAGATGCTATGCTGTTTTGACGACTACTTTTTGGCGAACTATCTTCACTCAAGCTTACGGAAGCTCTTTGTGTTTTGTCGAAAGAATGCTGTGACAGTTGTCCGACCTCAACATCCATATCAATGTCTGTGGCTACCGACGGACTAGAGACGACAGAACTGCTGGGCTCTTCACCATCCGGAAATCGATCAGCCCATTTCAGATGATCTTCCATCTCCATGAACGAGGTTTCATCTTCGCCTCTCAGCTTTCTGCGTCGATTTCTTTCCTGATGGCGGTCGAGCTTGGCAGCATATTTGGACTTGACAGCATTCTTCCAATCTCGAATGTTCTTGAACATGTCAAAATCATCCCGCGATTTTGTTTTCTCCCAACCTTCCAGGAGGGCATTGCTCAGATTTTCTACAGGCTCCCATGTTGCCTCGCACAAGTCAAAATTCTCCCATTCGATGAGATATCTTGGTAGGCCATCAATAGGCCATTCGGCCAAGATTTCATTAACGTTCCACTCTTCGTCGGAGTCGTGCTCACTGACGATTGTCGAGACTATTGATTCATTATCGGAGTCATCCATCTTGGCATCTTTTGGCGTATGCTCTTCATGTGTATCATAAGGTATAACCGCCAAGAGCCGCTGATGTTACTCTCCCACTCTTAGGAAAAGAAATGAAGTCAGTCGTGGTTTTGCAATGAACAAGGTGGGGAAGTCAAACTCACTGAGGTATACGGTTGAGTATGTTCCGTACTGAATAGAGTTGACCTGAGATTTTGTGAGTTTGTTGTTTATTGACGCCTTGACGCGATGAATGAAGTCCCAAATTTGGATGGCCAGGTCTAACTTTGGTGAGGTGAGGGAGAAATTATAGGAATGAAATGAGATGACGGGCTGGTCTTGATCTCTTCTTTTCTCCGTTCTCTAACATTTCAGGTAATAGGTAAGCTACCTACCTAGGTCAGAGCTTCACTCGGGCTGGGCGCGTGTGGGACTGGCTTGGCCTGGGCTGCCTGGAAAGTGCTAGCCAGGTCGCGAGATCACGTGAGTGATCTAGTTCCATCGGTGTCTTTGTTTATCCCTTATCTAATGCACCTTATTAGGCGCGGCTACAAAATCTAAATAAATCCCATTTACAACTTGGAGAGCAAATTATCTGCATGGGCAAGTGCTTTACCAGAGACTCCAATCATCGTCGGTAGATGTGTCAGCCCTAAATCCTTGGTCTTTTCCGTGCTTTGGATTCATTTGCACTCTCCCCTGCTTGTCTACATAGATATGGAGCCTAACCTAGACCCTGACTTCCTCGAGGCCATCCACCTGTTTGTTTGGCTTTAAACGTCTAATGACGACTCGGATCTTGTTGGGAGCATCCATACGGCATGCTGATCAAACTCTCGGCATCTTCATTGTCAAGAAGTAGGGTTCAGTCGTATTGCCTACCCACAATAAACTAGGTACCTTAGTAGTATGCCAACTTGGAAGCAGAAGCCAGGTGGGCATATTTCTAGTACCCATCACCTCATGATTTCGAAATCAAGAAGAGCGGCCAACATCCAGAGATACCTTGGCTTCTCATTTAGATCATTAATAATGGTTGTAAAGTGTTCTGATGACCTATATGGTGCTCCTAACACAAGAAAGAGGGCAAGGGCCAGGTTATAAGAATGTGCATTAAAACTATATCATAATATGCGACCAGGTTTGTAAGGAGTATCGGGTTCAAAACAAAAAAGGTACTGCATATCTGAAAGCGGTCAGCGATCAATTTGTAGGTTGCAATGAGCGAGCCATATTGATGCGGTTAGTCCTATCCCAGGAGGCGCGAAATCCCAGCTATATGGAATGGATATGTGCTATGAAGAGATATAGATGATGCAGCCAGCCATCCTTCTAAAATGCATCATGCGGTTACTAGTTCTGGCCTATCACATCAGAATGTGTCCGGATTCGGTAGCTGACAATTACATCTACGACTTGAAGCTTCCTTTGTCGTTGCCTATTCCATCCATCAATATTAAGTTGGCAAATTACACACTAAAGCACACAAGGTAGCTCTGACCAACAATCCACTCGAGAACAGCCATTTTTGGGGACAGGTTGCATTCCCTTGATTTCTTATACTGGAACCTAGCAGTGATGCGACCAGCACTACTTTCGCTACCTGGCCACAGTGGCAGAGTGGGTGTCTTTGTGCGACCGCTATGTGGCTGCCTCCACTAACAAAGAGGCGTCTAATCCTAGGTAGGCTCCCGGCTCCCCCCCTACCCTACCTAAAAACATAGGCAGCTCCAGTTAGCAGTCTTACCCCTCGGCACGGGGGGACTGGACGTCGAGGTACAAACAACCGCCTATCGCCAGAGCCGCGCATTCTCTCCCTCTCCACAACCCACACCTCAACGACGTCGACTAGGTTGTCTTTCTCGCAGCGCCAGCGCACTCGCCTTCAACCTCACCCTCATCTTCGATACACCAACTTGGCTCCTCTCAGTAATATACCTGAAGCAACACCACCGTAGTCATGGCCAACGACGAATATGATGTACGTCTTGCCCCTCTCCCTACCCTCCTTAGTCTTTCATGTCCCGCCAGTTGCTGACCTGTGGGCCCCCTTTGCAGTTCCTCTTCAAAGGTGCCGTCATTACCATCTCTCAAAGGCCACGCCTGGTTCGACGTTTGCGACCGCCCCTTACTGACATTGTGAACCTGCAGTCGTCCTGATCGGAGACTCTGGAGTCGGAAAGTCCAACCTTCTCAGTCGATTCACCCGCAATGAGTTCAACCTAGACTCAAAGTCGACCATCGGTGTCGAGTTCGCCACCAGATCTATCCAGGTCGACTCAAAGACAATCAAGGCCCAGATTTGGGATACCGCTGGCCAAGAGCGATACCGCGCCATCACTTCCGCCTACTACCGAGGTGCTGTCGGCGCTCTCCTCGTTTACGACATCAGCAAGCACCAGACCTACGAGAACGTCACACGATGGCTCAAGGAGTTGCGGGACCATGCCGACGCCAACATTGTCATTATGCTGGTTGGAAACAAGAGCGATTTGCGACACCTGAGGGCTGTTCCCACAGAGGAGGCCAAGTCTTTTGCTAGTACGAAAATCCTACCCAATTTGACACAGGAGGGTCCCTCTTACTGACACTTTTGCAGGCGAGAACCACCTGTCCTTTATCGAGACGTCTGCCCTTGATGCCAGCAACGTCGAACTTGCGTTCCAGAACATTCTGACTGGTTCGTTGTTCAACCAATTTCTCCAACCTATCTGTGGCTTGAACTGACAATATGGACAGAAATTTATCGCATTGTTTCAAGCAAGGCCCTCGACAGTGGTGACAGCGCCCAGGCCACCATAGGCGCAGGCACCAATATCTCCCTGAGCAAGCCTGCCGACGACGATGCTGCCAAGGGCGGAAAGTGCTGTTAAATTCCTCGCAGAGCCGTTTGCAGACGGATATAGGGCTTTGGGGGTTTGGGATACCTGGCGTCTCGTTTGTCCCCGAAAATGCTCCTCGCTAAAGGAGAGTGGAGGAGGCGAGGAATCGTGATACGTCTTTTTTTGATATCAGAAGGCGCGGTTACTTCGGCTTTCCTTTGTTCTTATTTTTTGTCATGATGGTTGTCTTGGGGTTGATGCGTCCAACGATCGCTGCGACACGGTCATCTTAACGTAGCTGAATGAATTCTTTATAATGTTCGCCCTCTAATGAGCTGTACCTCTGTGCCTCTATACCTAGTTACTTTCTCCACCACCTCGCTTGTACCGCATTCGAATTAAACACCACAATCAGTGTATGCCTACACGTCATGCTGATCAGAGCCGACCGGACGTAAACAGGTACTGGCACTGTGGGTTGGTATCGAATTCATTTGTTACCTTAGGTAGTAGTAGCTTAGTACATTAGTAGTGTACAGCTCGCTCCCAGGGTCTTCAGGTAGCGGGGCAATCCTCATCCAACTCATCACATTGGATGCAGTCCTTAATTAGGTACCGATAGATACTTCCCTGACTCTGGTCAAGAAATGGGCGGGCTATCCATCTACTACTAGGCATGGTCCGATCTACTCTACTTATCCATCTCACGCAATGCATTCTTAAGGTTTAGATTAAAGCTTTCTGAGTGGCTCTGCCCGTCTGCTTCAGAAAACATGTGCTACTGCATATCCCCTCTTCGGGGGGCAAGAAAACACCGGGCCTTGATATGAGGTGTCAAAATAAACTCAGCAGAATATACCCTAAACTTATGTAAAGTTACCTAAGTCCTTTTGTCATTTAGGATTGAGGTCCTGAGTTTTCTTTCCCCCCCTAGCCCCCTGGGGTTGTCTCGACTGCTAGAGCGGTGTCGCGGCCCCACCTCGATACCTCCAGCACCCCCACTCTCTTATCGCGACCTTTCAAGTCTTATCGAGACTCAGCCGACTAAATTTTTTTGGAAAATTGTCCGCCGCGTCGCAAAGCCTGGCCCAGTAAAATCATCACCAAGTCAACATAGCTTTTTCGATAATCGATCCCAATCCCAACGTGGGGATTCATTCAAGATGGCTGCTGTCTACAAGTCTATCTCCAAGTCCAGCACTACAAAGGTCGAGGCGTCTAGCAATGGCGTTAAGAAGAATAAGCAGAGGGTTCTGATCCTCTCTTCTAGAGGCGTCACTTACCGGTAAGCAATTCCACGACTCGGATGTAGGGCGCATTCCGCTAACATTGCTATTCTTCTCAAGACATCGTCACCTTCTAAACGACATTGCAGCAATGCTCCCCCACAGCCGAAAAGATGCAAAATTCGACTCCAAGACAAAGCTGTACGAACTGAACGAGCTGGCCGAGCTCTACAACTGCAACAACGTGCTCTTCTTCGAGGCAAGGAAGGGCAAGGATCTGTATGTTTGGCTTAGCAAAGTCCCTAACGGGCCTACCATCAAGTTCCATCTCCAGAACTGTAAGAGTTGACACCAGACGATGCTTTTATCCGGGCTAACACTAAACAGTGCACACCATGGAGGAACTTCACTTCACCGGCAACTGTCTCAAGGGGTCGCGGCCCGTTCTCTCCTTCGACGGCGCTTTCGACAAGCAGCCTCACCTCCGGGTGATCAAGGAGCTCTTCCTCCATACCTTCGGCGTACCCCAGGGCGCAAGAAAATCCAAGCCTTTTATCGACCACGTTATGGGATTTAGCTTTGTCGATGGCAAGATCTGGGTTCGCAACTATCAAATCAACGAGGTCGAGGCGACAGCCAAGGAGGGTGAAGAAGAGGAAGAGACGACCAAGTCTCGATCTGGTAAGCCTGATACCGATATCAACCTGGTCGAGATCGGTCCACGATTCGTCTTGACACCTATCGTGATCCAGGAGGGCTCTTTTGGTGGGCCTATTATCTATGAAAACAAGGAGTTTGTGTCACCAAACCAGGTCCGAGCCGATATTCGAAGGACAAAGGCTTCGCGACACAACGCCCGCGCAGAGAAAGAGGTGGAGAGACGGGTCAGGAAGGGCGACCTCGGACTGCGATCTGTTGGCGGCCAGCGACCGGCCAAGGATGAGCTGGATACCAAGATGTTGTTCGCTTAAACCTTTTGATACCTTACCTGCCGATATTACCAAGTACTTACTGGCTTGATCCATTGGATCTGAACACCGGGACGGGGTGTTGGAGTTTTAGGTCATACTGCGTTTTTATTTGCCAAAAGAGAGAATATTATACTTTAGTTACCGCTAACGATGCCATTCGTCTTATTTCGTCCTCCCTGATTGTACCCCCCAGTCAATCACCTGTTTACAAAGTAATCAAAAGTACTAAGTTTCAGATCAGGGTTGCCAGGTCCTGAAGGCCAGGTATCGCATCATCACTTAGCCCGCCCGGATGAAACTCGGCAGATTGTTATCGGTACGTAGTCATAACCTATATCAATAGATACCCTTTCCTACTTCATCCTCATCCTCACTGTATATTCAATCAGTGCATATTGCAGACGAGCATTGCACTTGAATACAGCCATGAGAATCACAGTTACCCAAAACCCGATGCCTGTGTGCATCTCTACTTCTGTCGCAAGCCCCAGCGCCGGGGTGACTGAACAATAAGCCCCGGATCATCGATGCTTTAGGTGACTCAACATTGGGATACCTTGAAGCGACGAGGGCCAAGCTGCTCTTACAACAACTTTCTCATATCAACTCTCTTCCGGTGAAGGCGAGTACAATTTGAGGATATAGCGACTTGATTTTCTTAAACCTTGGCTCCCCAACAACGTATTGCAAGTAAACAAAATGCAAAGTCCATCAGGTCCGTTATTTTCTTCTCCTTTCCAGGCATAATTTTATGCCTAACTTCCTTATAGCACCCGTCAAATCGGCGACTCTGGTTCTGTAGTGAGATTGTATAATCGCGTACGTGGTTTACAGACGAGGACCGTTGCTGTCCACTTTACCTGCAAATATTTTGTCCACTCCAAAACCCAATCCTTACAATTCGACCGAACATTTTTGCCATCTATCCCCAAACCCTTTATATAAGACGTTCGATCATGTCAACATCTGTTAACATGGCGCCGAAGATGTCCAAAAACCATTGCCTTACTGGGCTTCCAACTGAGATCCTTTTGGACATATATCAACAACTAGACCTGGATGGTGTTTTCAACCTTTGCGCCACTCATAGGACGCTACATGAACTCTTCGACAAGAGAAAGGCCTCAATCTTACTTCCTGTCCTTGTCAGGGAGTTCAGTCCCTTTGATGAGCTCCTTCAGGTTTATACGGCCTCAGTTGAGGATCTCGATTCCCGCGGTGGACTGTATGCTCCACGCAGAGTCGTGTTTAAACGATTCCTTGGAGACACTGGAGTGGTGTTAGCTCCGCGTCCAGAGCATCAGCCTACTGTGTCAGTGGACGCTGTTGAAGGTTTCATCACGCTGAGCCAGCTAGGCAAACCCATTATACCCCGCGCTCAACCACTGAAAACCGTTGTTCTGACTGTGAAGGATCTAAAGCCACTTCTCAGCTACTGTTCTCTTGTACTGAGATGGCAAGCCAGGTTCCCTCAGATGAGATGGTTTCATGAGCCTGAGAATTGTCGTCTGCTTCGCGAGCACGAGGCTGAAAGGTTCCGCAGAGCCATGTATCGATGGTGGCTCTATGGTTTCTACTTTCACGGAGACTTCCCCCGACCTCGTGTTGGCCTTCCAGAGCCTGGTGTGGATGACGTTAGACTGAGTCAACTTCGATTATACTCCACAGGCGAGCTGGTAGAGCTGATGGATCTGGTTGAAACCATGAAGGATGTCGTGCTTCACTATCTCTGCCCACGGCTTGACCCTAGTCAAGACGAATATGTAAGTTTGCACTTAGACTTTCGGGGTTCGTTACTGACATACCATTAGGAGGGCTGCGATTCGTATCTTCATGATGTTGTCGACCGACCTGACTCCTTGGCAAGAGGCTGGCGGGATCAGAGTCGTTGGGGCCGTATTGTAAAGACTTACTGCAAACTTGGCCCTAAAGATCTCATGCATCTATTTGAGAACATCTATAGCTACCCTAGAAAACGCCTTATTACGGAAGCTCGGTCTCTTCAGCCGAATCTCACTTTCGACCAAGAATCTATCTCGGTGTCAACACAATGTGTCCTGGACGAGCGACAGTGGTCCTTGAACATGCCTACCTTGCCTCTGGATGGCCTAGGAGGTGTGATTGACTGGGATGATGAGCGCGACGCTGAACGCGTCAAGTTTGGAAGTGATGCTAGTCTGGATGGAACATTGCCAGGGGGTGCTCGGATGCTTCGGTCTTCATCTCACTATTCGCCTCGCGGGGATGATGGATCTTATCTAGAAGATGTCCAACGACAGACAAGGATGGAGGGTAGGTATATGGTTTCGTTCGCTTAGGCATGAGTGCCTTGTCGTCAATAGACATGCTCTCGTTCCTCTGGTTAACCTTGAAGTTTATGAAATGTGGCAGTATTTGCTGGAGTACTTACTACACGTGGATCGTCAGATGTGGTCGTAATGAAGTCCGAGGCTTCTCACTATTAGAAATGGATTCCCTGGTTGAGTACATGGCCGTAGTGTCTCCTGAATTGCCTAATGTTAAATGCTGCTTTCTCACCTGTGCATTAACTTGGTACCTTGCACACTCGACTGTGAATTACCAGTACTGCTGTTGTTACATATGTACTATCTGTAGGATCTGAGATGCTTAGTAGTCGCAGCCCAAACCAACGATTCATGATCAGCAAAAACATAAAGAACAATGCCCTTTCGACCCAAGGTATGGGTCAAAGGAGGAAGCTTCAACTGTTTGCAGCCAAGCAGTAGCCCCCACTGCTAGGTAGTTGGTAACTTAGAAAGTTAGGTGCCTTATCGATGGAGGTCGGCCGCGGGTCACTCAGCGGCCAGTAGCGCCTGAAACCATAGGGGAGCCCGCACGCCAAAATCAACCTCCACAGCTGAGCCTCACTTCTCCTTCCACTCCATCTCATACATCTAATCTCAGAGCTAATATCAACCACCGCGATTAAACACGATCGCGCATCTCAACCCACCACCCAGCATTAGACTTACTCATATCTCAGCTCTCTAGAACCTCACTATAAGAGCCTAGCGTATGCTCTTACGTCTTTACAACCTCTCCTCGCTGTTGCGATCGCGCCATACTTAGCAGAGGTAAGTGAAGTGTTTTGTTCGTGTTGGCATCATCATCTTTCATATCCTTTTTAAGTGCTTTGATGCACTCAGCTCCGCAGAACTAGGCAGAATGCCCTTGCATGTACCTGAGAGCCATGTCAAGATTCTTGTGCGCTCGTGCGAACAATGGCCAGCCGTATGTCATTTTGGCTCATGTAATTCACTTCGCTAACACGCAATTTACCTTTGTCCTCGAGCACCTCCTTTGTTTCCCTAGACAATGATGGTCAACAATTGTTTGTAAACTCGGCCATAATCTTTCTAACTTGTGTATAGATCCATCTGCTAGTGTTTATTTACTCCAGCAATCCATAGGCCTTGGCTCTCCCAAGTATATTCGCAACTCCTGGGGTCGTCAGACCTTCAGTGAGGATATTGGAGATTACCTGCCATGGAGACAAGTATCACAGATACTGTTGATCATCCAATGAAGGATGCAGAAGCGCCTAATGGGTTCAACCGTACTAGCAACACCAGTATCGACGACGATGACACGGCGTCTGAGGATCCATGCGAGGACGATGAAGATCCACCACCTCAAGATATAACCTTCGATCAGATGCGTCGTAGAGGTTTGCTGCCAACAGGCTGTTGTTATGATGACCGGATGAAGTTGCATATGAATGCGGACTTTTCACCCAACGCACATCATCCTGAAGATCCCCGTCGTATCCACGAGATATTCAAGGCGTTCAAGAAGGTTGGCCTCGTCTATACAGGTCCCGAGGCAGAGTTGCCAAGAATTATGCGGGAGTGTCCCACACGTTATATGTGGCGCATACCTGCTCGTGCTGCCACCCGAGAGGAGATTTGCCTCGCCCATCATCCTGATCACTTTAGCTGGGTGGAAAACCTTGACAAGATAAGTTCGGCCGAGCTTCGAGAACTGACTAGGCAATATGATCAAGGGCGGGAATCTCTCTATGTTGGTAGTATGTCTTATCAGGCCGCCCTACTTTCAGCCGGGGGAGCCATCGAAACCTGCAAGAACGTCGTGACTGGTCAAGTCAAGAACGCATTCGCCGTGATCAGGCCACCAGGCCATCACGCAGAGTTTGATGCGCCAATGGGTTTTTGTTTCTTCAACAACGTCCCAGTGGCAGTCAGGGTCTGCCAACAGGACTATCCAGACATTTGCCGGAAGGTTCTCATCCTGGATTGGGATGTTCACCATGGTAATGGTGTCCAAAATATTTTCTATCAGGACCCAAACGTCTTATATATCTCTCTCCACGTCTACCAAAACGGTCTCTTCTATCCCGGTAAACCCCCCAATGATATGACGCCAGATGGTGGAATCGACAAATGCGGAACGGATGCTGGCCTTGGTAAAAACATCAATATCGGCTGGCATGACCAAGGCATGGGTGACGGGGAATACATGGCGGCATTCCAGAAGATTGTGATGCCTATCGCCAAAGAGTTTAACCCGGACCTCGTGGTTATCTCTGCGGGGTTTGATGCTGCCGATGGCGATGAACTAGGGGGCTGCTTCGTTTCTCCCAGTTGCTACGCTCATATGACACACATGTTGATGTCCTTGGCTGACGGAAAGGTTGCAGTGTGTCTAGAGGGAGGTTACAATCTTAAGGCTATCTCGGTGTCTGCAGTGGCCGTTGCGAAGACGCTCATGGGTGAACCGCCACCAAAGATGGAAATTCCTAAGATCAATAAGGAGGCTGCACGCATACTTGCCAAAGTCCAAGCTCATCAGGCCCCATATTGGGAGTGTATGAGGGCAGGCATCGTTCGCATTCCTACCGACATCCAGCCAACGATATCCTGCCGTCTACATGACGTGATCAGAAACGCCCAGAGACAGGTTCTGCAAGCAAAGCACAACATGATACCTCTCTACATCCAGCGCGAACATCTATACAAGTCATATGAGAACCAGGTCTTAGTGACACCAGGCCTCCACCAGGAAAAGAAGGTTCTCATTATCATTCACGATCCGTAAGTCAATTGCATGAGGAGAGGGCTATGACTTGGGCCTTAAATACTGACATCATCTCTTAGTCCTGAGCTTCTGGCTCAGCCGGATGTTATAGACAGATCTGTCGACCCTCACAATGCCTGGGTGGTGAGTAGATATTATTCATAGTAAGCGATGCAAGAACTGATAAGAATAGGTTGATGGTGTAACGGATTACATTGACTGGGCAGTTGATCAAAAGTTCGGTGTCATGGACGTTAATATCCCAGCCTATGTCACCCACGACGAGGTCCGTGATCATATTCATTAGTAGTGGCTGATCTCTAACCGTTGGTATAGGAATCCGAGTCTTATGTACCTGGTTTCAAAGAGAAGGCTCTCTCGGAACAGATCCAGACGTTGGTGTGTTACCTGTGGGACAATTACTTGCAGCTTTATGATGCCGATCACATTTTCTTCATGGGCGTTGGCAATGCATATCTTGGAGTCAAAGTCCTGCTCCTAAACCGAGGTAAGTCGACTAGCTGCTACGAGCCTCTATATCAAATTTCTGAAACGAAATAGATTGCAAGTCAAGAATCTCTGGGGTGGTAAACTTTGCCAACGGAACGCTCAGGCCAGTCAAGTCAGAGTTTGATTCAGATTTATCATCGTGGTATAAAGAGAACTCACGAGTCTACATTGCAGGCGATCATGCGTGCTGGGCTGATCCTGATCTGACTCGAAAAGTTAACAAGCGGCGCTTCGGGACAGTCGTTCGTAGCCCAATGTTTGGTCTGAACAAGATGATGGCGCATCACGCCAAGGAGGCGCGGGAGTGGATCCTTGAGAGGGTCGAAGAAGTAGCAGATGCTGATATGACTGAAGATGAAAAGTCATAGATGCGGTCTCGGCAACGATGTTAGTTACAAGTTAGGAGAAGCTGGGTGTTCCCTTGTATAGGGGTAATGTTCTTGCTCTAGCAGGTCTTATGAGTAGTGCAACCAGAGATAGAGTCTGTTTTCCTTACGTGTGTTATTTATTATATACCTATAGGCAGCGCCTTTGTACCAGTGTCATATTTATCACCTATGGAAGTCATAATAACTGTCGCACGAATAGACCTGTTATGTTACTGGTCTTGAAGCAATACAGTGTGAGTAGTGTGTGTATGTATCCAACGACACTGTATTTATCTGCTATCGGATCAATGTACCTAGGTACTACGGAGCACTACCTGTTAGTAGGTAAGTAGCTAAGGTAGTCACGGAAGTCGGGATGCTGAATCTCCGACCTCCCTGCTTTGGTCTTCGATTTTTGGAAGCTCCAGTGACCCAACTTGCGACTCGCACGCGTGCTTGCGCTTTCATACCTAAAGCCAAATCACAACGCATCGATAGAAGCACTTGCCGTGCATCATATCTGTCCTGACTAAGGCAAGAATGGATCGCGACCGAGGTCGAAGGTGAGTCATAAATCGTTTGTTTATATGTATTGCATCTTGCGTTCTTCTTCTTCTTCATTATCATCATCATCATCTACGTCTCCCATCATTTTGCGACACCATTTCGGCATCTCTAGCACCACCAGCAGACACCCTCGAAACACGCTACACGGTAGCCGACCACTTTGAGCAATACAACTTGGTCCACACACGTCTCGTGCTGCGGCCCCGACCCAAATTCTAGAGAATATCGACCAACTGAGCGATCGTGCGATGGCTGGTCATATTGAGATGGAGGAAAGCGGCAGCGACTCTCACGAAGCCATCGAAGATACATCCGAGTTCGAGCAGTCGCCTGGCGAGCTTGCACAGACTGTTCGACGACACTGGGACATTGGCTCTTTTTGGCGGGTCACCTGCGGTGACGATCCGGCTACACTCCCATCCACATTTAGCATATCGCTTCGGTATCTCTGGTGTCCGGATTCGTACCCTGGATCAACATGGGAATGCTCATGGGAACGAGTCAGAACTTTTGATCAACCTATGCCAGCCCATACCCTAGGAGATGCTGCTGGGTTGCCACCCATTTTACCGGCATTTCGTCCTCATCCACAGGCTTGTCAGAGCGAAGATGGAGAGCATTGCTGGGAGGACTGATGCTTCGAAGCGCGTCAAGCGACGCTGGCCGTATTATCATAAGATTTTAGACCGTCCGCTGAAATACCCGACATTCTGCTAGGATCGCCTGAGGCAGAGTGTACTCCTGCCTTCCTATTGATCTTGACCGTGGCACAATATTTGGTCTGACCTTTGCCAGAAATTGTCATGGATCATCACGGCTCAGCAGGCCACAGTACGCGAATTATACTACGCTCATTCGTCTGTTTCTTTCTTTACTTTTCTTTACTTTTCTTTCTCTTTCTTTGTTTTCAAAGCGTTCTCTATTTCACACCCACAAAGCCTCATGATTCCCACACAAAACACTAACATGAAAAAAGGTTTGATGATGGGGAAGTCGTTAGATACGGCGCTGGAGAGTCATGGAGGCCCACTCCTCGAGACCGGTCGCCTAGGCGGGTCAGAAGTCCGGTTAGAGAGCGAGCAAGGACCCCTCGACCTAGAAGTCCACGTCCCCGGAGTCCAATTCCTTCTGGATCCGATAGCTATGTGCCTGGCAGATATCCACCACGTCGTAGGTCGAGAAGTGGAGGAGACCGATACCGGCGAGAGCGATCAAGAGAACGCGAGAGTCCGCGCCGGCGGGAGCGTAGTAGGTCTATGCGGCGGCCGTCTCCTCGACGTAGCTTGTCCCGGAGAATTTCTCCCCCTCGTGGAGCGGATAGATATGAAAGGCCTCGGTCCCCTGCCCCTGGCAGAGATTGGGAACGCGATCGTGGGAGGATCAGAGATCGAGAATGGGACCGTGACAGAGTACGTGATAGGGGACGTGACTTCGAGCGGCGTGACGAAAGGTGAATTTACTTGACCCATGTTGATAGCGAAGGGGCTAACTGACAAAAGGTGGCGATCTAGGTCTCCATTTAGTGTGATTCGCCGCGACAGAACTCCTCCTGTGCGGTCCCCCGTGACAGGTCCTCGTGGTGGTTCATATAGGCCACGTTCGCGTTCCATTAGTCGACGCGGAAATGACCGATGGCAGTCATACAGGCGCGTCACCCCCCCGAGAGAATCTGGAATCTCATCTGCGATCACTTCTCAGTCAGCTTCTGGAAGATCCTCACCACGACCGAGTTCCGTAAGAGCTCGTTCACCACTTCAGTCTCGAGAAGAGTCTCCCCATCATCATGCCATGGCCCCAACAAGGGAGACACCAAGACCTGGACTTTACGATACAAACACATCAGCCCCCACTCGATCACCTCCACGAGGCCCTGCAGCGCTGAGAGCACCTCCAACCGGCCCGGCAGCAAACAGAAATCCCGCAGGGCCAGTATCTTCACCAGCCCTGCCTCCTCCCGCTCGGACCCAGACACCTACGGCCCCTCCTCTACGTTCAGGGACCACAAGCCCAACAGTCCCCCCAGCTGGCCCACGAGGTTATGTGCCTCCAGCTAGAGGTGGGTTTGCCCCCCGAGGAGGTAGAGGTGGTTGGAATCAAGCACCAGCAAGACACATTTCAGGACCTTCACCGACTCCTTCAACCCCCAATGGACCTTCAGCTATTCCCACTGGCCCACGTGCGACTCCGTCAAATACATCGTCAGCCACAACAACGACGCAATCTCGGCCGTTCAATCCTCCGACTGGGCCATCAGCCCAACATGCTGGTAGCGCACGGCAGACTTTGGCGCAATCCATGCTCGCGACCCTACCCCCCATCATCCCCGGCGGCAAGTTGGATCCTTCCATGACGCCTCTCGCTCTTGGCGTAACTCGAGAACTTGAGCCACATTATCGCAAGCTGAAGGACGAGGAGGAAAAGTTGAGAGATGAATTGCACGCGAAGCAAGAGCGGCTACGAAAAAGTCTGTACACGTGGAATAGACTCGAACGTGACTCGCGAGCGTGGGAGATGCGAAGTGACCTGAGCGAGAAGAGCATGAAGAACCTAGCTGGTGAAGGTATGGGTGGTGCCGCATTTTAAAAATATGTGCCACAAGAAGTTAGGAACTTGGCGCTCAAGGATTATCGTTTATGCTTGTATGATTGTCAAATATGCAGGAGTAGGTTCCTGTAAGCGTTGCTTCCATCTGCTTCTGGTCATGAGAAATCCCAAGACTTGGGAGATTTTCATGCTTACATTGGGTCGAGGCGTCCTGCTTGTACAACAGTTGTATGACGAGATAACAATTATGATGAGCCTGTCGTACGTGAATTCAGCCTGTCTATTGCCTTTGGATTGTGAACTATACGAGAGCGTACAATCAGCCTAATAAGGTGCCTCTTTCTTACCTTTTAGTAGTATTTCAGGCCCCATGATAGCCGTGCTCATTTACTGAGGTATCCATCATGCTCACTGACAAGATGCGCCGGTATCTCAAACTCATGGAGATGCCAATATCGTAAACACTTGAATGGGGTATAAACTGCATTATAGGTTTCAATTGCATGCAATTTGTCAGCGTGTCGTCTATCAAATATTCATGAATCTTACTTATGTAGCTATCTCACATTGAGCCAAACACGCCACCCCACACAGTCTCGATAGTACCAAACAAAGCTGCCCTACAAGTCAACGGGGGAAAATCGACAAGTTTGAATTTTACCAACAGTCCACGCGGTGATGGCGACGTAGAGACTGAGCCGTGGCTTCGTCAGACTCTGATTGAACAAGCAATGATACTGTATTCAAGGCCAGATCGCAATTCATACACCTGGACAAGCTTCCAGGTCCTAGACTTGGTTGCCAGATGCCGCAAGACCAAGTAAAAAGGTACGTGGCCACATTTCAACAGAATTTCATGAATGATTAGACGCTACGAACTGTCCTCCAGTCTGTGCGAAGCCACGGTGTATTCATATGCGGTTAAAGCCATCCTCACCATGCTTCGCAAGATTTCGTGCGTACCTGAGAGGAGCCAGCGTAGCACGACATAGAATCTGGGCCACGCGCTCAAAGAACGCATGGTACATTATGGTGGCCAAATTACTGGAGTATGCCGTAGCTACATTAAGTATTAGTATGGCTGATAAACATGATCAAAAGACAGGGCCAGTTGGAACATCTGTCACTCCAGTGTAAAAATTGAGTTGTACCGTTTCGAGACCGTTCATGCTATATCCTGATACTAAGATAATATGAACTGCAAAAGAGCCAGCAGATGTTGCAGTATACGCCTGGAATGGTCAATTTCTCTGATCCCAAGTGATCAGCTATGATACAGACGTCTTTGCTCAGTTAACGCCAGATAAAGACTGCATCATCATCCTCATCATGGTCGCCGTCCCACTCGTCATCCGACTCAGCGCGATCATCATCCACAAAGTCTTCCATACCGTACTGCAATTCAGTGGGCTTTTGGTTATCGAATACAATGGATACAGTAGTACAGCGTCCCTGAATCGTAAGGGGCACAGGCTTTTTTTCACCCTCGGCCTCATCCCCAGTCTGACTGGCAGCAGTACCGGACTCGGCTTCTTGGCCTTCTGCATCAGAATCGAACTCATTCTCATCTGTGTCGGGTTCGGCGTAAGTTGGACGACCAAGCGAATTACGGAGACCTTTGGAGCTGTTCCTTGAATCAGAGTCCGAAACATGTGCCGCTAGACGACTGCTTCGCCGAGATGGGCCATCAGACAGCCTCTTCAACTTTTGCTTCTTTTTCTCCGAAACCTGAGTAGATACTTCCACCTCTTCCTCTCGTGTCTGCCGAAGAGAATAATTTCTTTGCGGGGGTTCATATGGGCGGAGGAAGACTTTATCCAGCTTCCGCCTCCATTCGTGCCGCATATTAGCGCGGGCCTTCCAGGGTATGTTGAGCATCGTCTTGACCGCAAGATATCGAAGGTTTGGCAGGGAACGAGCACTATCTATGAGGGAATTGAGAAACATTTCGGCAGTCTCAACACTCCAATATCGTATATGTTCAAAATCAACGATCCGGAGGCTTGACGGCCACTCTGGCTTTTGATGCGGCAATAGCACTTGGTCGTACAAAGGGTCAGCGTCATTGTTGGTATAAGACCGGGATTCATGATGGCGGAAATACGAGAGGTTCATGTATAATTCCTCTAAATTGGGACATGTAGCTTCCAAAGTGGTCAGGAAGACCATGTCTAGAGATTGGTTGTGAGACAAGTTCAGGCTGCGCAAATGTCGGCCATGCGTATGTAGGAATGGCATGAACTCATCAGACTTGACCTCCCAACAGTTGATCAGTGAGAGATGAGTGAGGTCCTTTGGCAAAAGTGGAAGAAGCCGATCGTTCATGACAGTTGAAGATTCGAACATAAGATGTTGTAGCGATTTCAACTGCGAAATCGCCTCGGCGAGCGAATCAATGACAGCCCCATCTTCATTGTACAGCGCCAACTCCTGCTCCTCATTGACGTCTTTCGGCCCCAGCTTATAGAGCGAAGGGACTTGAAGATTGGTGAAGCTTAGTTTGGTGAGGTGCGCAAATGAAGGCTCTTGATGTATACGGGCAACATCCTTCATGGTCGCCACCGGCCCTCCAAGCAAGCTTCCGCTCCATTCCCAGCTTTTTAACATGGTGTGCGACTCCTTGTCTCCGGCTGGTCTGAAGGCGGCGAATATCTCTTCAGTATATTGCCATCTCACTGTTTGATCCAGTTGCCTGTAAGGCGGCTGATCAGATTGTGTAAAGAGAAAGACTTCTTTCAGTCGAGGAAGCAAATGGAGGATTCTTGGTAGCAACGTTTGAGGCAACACATGAACATCTACGTAAAGAGTCTCGATCTTGGCACGGTAATTAAATCGAGTCTCAGAAGGTGGGCGATCCAGCAGAGATGCGAACCGTTTCGCCTTTCCAGCGGTGACCAGGGGCGGAGAACGATAAATGGCTGTCAAGGCGGCTTCTGAGAATGCCTTACAAGTTGTGGCAGTGTTTATCAGCCAATTGACGTCGATGTCATCATGACTAGCTGCATAGTAGAAGATATCAATCCAGGCGGCATAAGGTATCTGCGGGTCTGTCCAGTCTGGAACGATGCCTTGAGGTATTGGCTCGGGTTCGGGATCAGCAGACACTCGTCGCTTCTTCAAGCTTCCTTTCTTCTGTGCCGGCTTTGGTCGTTTCCTCGTTTGGTCCCGCGACTTCGATGTTCTACCAGTCTGTACGTGTGCCGCCTTTGCTGACCTGGCCTGATTGGTTCTGCGAGTTCGTGTCTCGAGTTGGGCATCTCCATCCTGTTCGCTCTCCGCTAGGGAAGGATCGGAGTCTCCATCTTCTGAAGAAGACTCGTTATAACTTATAGAAGCCTTCTGCGACCGCAGGGGACGTGTTGTTGTTCGGGTAGCACGCGCGGTAATAGATTGCGACAGGTTGCGACGGGAGGCTACAGAAACGCTTTGTCGTTCAGTTGCTCTAGTTCGGACCATGTTGTGACGCCTGGTGCCTAGTGTAACGATCATGTTAGTGGTATACTAGTTATCTCGATGTGTGCAAGCAAGAGGGAGTGTTTGGCCAGCCCTGCTGATGGTTATTGCAGCCTGGCGCAAGCTGGGCAGGATGGATTGATCGCACCTCCAAAGGCCGAGTTTGGCGACTTGAAGCTCTCCGCAGTCGGTGTGTCAATGACGAATTCAATAGTACCAAGAAAAATGTATCAAATAGCGCCAATACGTAGCGCTGCTATCGATTCGAGTGTATTTGGGCGCGCTGCGTTTTGTTGTCAGACCATGAAGTGGCGGACCGTGTCAAACAAGTCTGAGTGTGATGTCGTTGTTAACTTAGGGTATTTTTGTTGGAGGGGGAGGGGCGCCTGGACGTGAGGGGAAAGAATGAAAGAAAAAGGAAGAGTTAGGTTTACAAGGTTCGATCAACAGTAAAATAATATCAAATTCAAAAAAAAAACTAGTCAGTAATGATTAGCCGTATATTTGATGACTATATGTGCATCATGTCTACAGAAAGCATCTCTTATCATTTCTTATATATGATCTCCTGCTGAGCATGCATTCGCTGTCTTATTCTTTCCTCCCCTCGGGGAGTAAGAAAACATCAGTCCCTGATACAAGGGTGTCAAAATAAGCTTAGCAAAAGGTTTCCTGATCCTAGCAAAGATATCCTATATTCAAGTATGCTACCTAGGTACCTTGCCTACCTACCTAAGTCTTCCGTTTTGTCATTTAGGACCAAGGTGCCTAAGTTTTCTTTCCCTCCTAGGTAGCCTTCCACTCCAGCCTTGTGGTGACGCACCTCGGTCGGTGTGGAGCTCCAAGAACAGAGTCGCTCTGTCGTGGCCAATCATACCTTACCTAGATGGGCGATGGCTGGATGTGGCAACGTATATTTCTGGAAATCTGCGAGGCCCAAAGTCCACTGAGGGACCTGGATGGATAAGAAATATCAAAGCAAATGTTCAAGAGAAAGAATATAAATTGAATTGGCAAAAATTCACGATGTTCTGTACCTTGTTGATACAGTATGACTTCCAGTACCTACCAAGCCTTTCATGTTGTTGGAAGTTTACGTCTCATCCCCATCACACCCAGACAGCAAGCTCTGCTTTGGCCTACAGGATATTTTGCACTCAAACAGGGCGGGCGGCACGAAAAGCAAACATTTGATTTTCTCTTCATCAATATAGCCCCCAAGGAGATATCGAAACCCCGAACCAGTCAAGGCTGGGCTGCAAGTCCTATACAATGTGGATGAGTCGCCAGTGACAAGCCATGATGACCCTCTTCGTCTCATGATGGATCATCGAAGATCCATGAAGGCATTGTACAATGAGGCTAAAGGGGTCCTTGCACTTCGCCTACCTGCATAATCGAGGGTGACCATGACCCTGGAGAGTCTCTTATTGGAAATGGTCTCTCACTAGAGGAGGCCTAGTGCTGAGAGACTGAATCGGAAAATCTGGCTTGAAATCGGCTCATGTCCATCGCAACTGAGAGAATAGGTATACAACATGAACTTTATGGTGTTCTACGTATTGCAAACACGCTTGCATTTGCAG